AAGGTGCGTTTTCACTCATGTCGAGATGTAGGCGACATCATATATCGGAGTCGCCGACATCGTATATCGTAGCCGCCTACGTCGTGTAACGTGGTAGCCTACGTCGTGTAAGATGGTCGCCGACAACGTGTAACCATGGTCGCCGATACCATGTAATCATGGTCGCCGTCATCGCCGTTATCGTATATGTATTAACATAGCATATAAGAATTTTGTAAAGTAAAAGTTAATAAAGTAATAAGAGTATTAAAAAAGTATTGAAAAATATAAAATATAAAATATAGAATATAAAAAATATAAAAAATATGGAAAGGACAAGCGTAAGTAAAAAAGTAAATCTGTAAAGCGTAATAAATATATATAAATATAAATATAAATATAGATATAAATATAAATATAAATATAAATATATAAATAATTTTTTAAAATTAAAAAAGAATAATAAAATGTCGGTAATTGTTTAGGAAGACGAAATTCAGCAGTATTCCTGCGGAGTGTGTGGTGCTAAAAATCTGATCCCTAATGAAGAAAATGAAATCGATCACGAATGCTTAAATGGTCTTTCAGTATCTGTTGATTCAAATTTTGTTATGCGTCCACGAATAGGTATATGTATAATAATAATAATATTTAAGGGGGTAGACAACCGGCCTTGACAAGCGAAAAAATAGATTTTTTTTAAGTTAAATATTTAAGAAATAAAGAATTCTGAGTATTTGAAACTTTGGCACATATAATTCTATATTCTTTTATAATTATTTAAAAAAAAATTATTAATATTAATAATAACAGGAGAGTTATTGGTAATGGAAGAGAAGCAGTTCAGTAGCTGGTAATGGACATGAAATTTCGAAAAAACGGCTCCAACGATTTTTTTCAAAAATTTTTTATAAGTTGTTGAAAACAATATCTAATTGTAAGGATGTGTCGGAAACAGAATTTCGAAAAAAATTGTTAAAAGAAAATATTTTATTTGCAAAAAAGTGTAAAATTGCATTTTCTCTAATAAAATTGAAAATGCAATTTTATACTTTTTTGCAACTAAAAAATATTTTTAAAGAATTTTTTTCGAAATTTTGTTTCCGACATATCTTATTAGATATGGTTTCAACAACCTATAAAAGACTTTTAAAAGAAATCGTTGGAGCTGTTTTCGAGATTTCACGTCCACCACCAGGTACTGAACTGCTTCCCTTCATTACCGCAATAACTCCCGTTATTATTATTTTTTAATAATTCTTTTTTTAAATAATCGTAAAAGAATATAGCGAATTATGTGCCAAAATTTCAAATATTTAGTTTTTTTATTTCTTAAATATTTAATTTGAAAGAAAAAAGATAAATTCTTTGCTTGTCAAGATTGCCTACCCGCTTAAAGAATTTGGTATATTTTTTTAAAACTGTTTTTTTATAATTATCGAGCAAGTAACATTTACTTCGCCAGCAATTATAATTAATCAAAATAACAGTTAAGACTTGTTAATCGACCCAACTGACTATAATAATCGTCATGACAATACGACCATTGATTTTGGTCAGATTAATCGCCAAGATGTTTCGACCATGGATTTTGGTCCGTCTAAATTGATGTAATTTTAATAAGCATTTTATTTAAATAATTAAATTTATTGCGAAAAATATTACCTCACCCTGGTTAAAAGTAATATTTTTTGCAGTAAATTAAATTGTTTAAATAAGATGCTTATAATATAAGCATCAAAATTACATTAATTTAGAAGGACCACAAAATCCATGGGCAAAACCGTCTTAATTTTATAATTATGTTTTTTTTTTTTTTTTTAAGTTGATCCAGAAACAAGCTACCTTGTTTCTGACAATGGAGAATGCGAAAAGATGGCAGAAGATATTAATGAGTGCATTAATAAAGTAAATGAGCATTGTGGCAATTCGACGAAACAAAAAAAAATTTCGGTTTTGGACAAATCTAGATGTAAAAAAAAACTTAAAACAGGAGAAGTAGACAATATCATCTGGACGTCCGAAAGTATCGCACACCTAATTCAATTAGTAAAAAATAATGATATTATATGGAATTACTGCATTCCTATGAAAGAAAGATCAAAATTTAAAATAAGCATTGCATGGGATTTTATCGTGGAAGACTTGAAAGGTAAGACCTAAAAATTTATTAGAAACTAAACAATTTTCTAAACTAAACTGAAATGTGCTCTCACAATATACAAACTCGCCTTAATTCTTTAATAATTTTAAATATTTTAGATACATTTCCCGATATCTCTTCTTTCTTTAATCCAATTGTGGTTCAATCCAAATGGAAAAGTTTGGTTGATTATTTTTGGAGAAAAGTAGCTTCACGTCCAAAAACAACTGGATCTGCTGCCGCTGCTCCCGAATCGTGGCCATATTTCGAGAATATGACATTTCTTTAAGAAATACAAACTAAACAAAAGTAGTAATTCAAATCTGTAAAAAATAATTTTTATCTTATAGATTATTATCTATTTCAGGACTATTGATAATTTCCCTGAGGAAAATGAAGAAAATAAAACTAATGAAAAAATTAGAAGAGGAAGAACCAACAAAAACAATAACGGCATCGAGAAAATAGCGTCAGCTTTAACCGAATTGGCAAAGGCACCGTCAATAATTCCACCTCCATTGCCCGCTCCTTTACCACAATACACTACGCAGTCAAAATTGACTTTGAAAGAAAAGAAAATTCGAGATTTTCTACAGTTAATGGAGTCTTTGATGCTGAGTATACCCGATGCTGATCTCGACAATGTGCTCTTCAGTATCCACGAAACTGTACATAAAGCAAAAAAATAACTGCACAGAAATATTTAAAAAAATTATGTATACTGCGCGGTCTGCGCGTCAATGATTCCTTTTCTGAGGTAAGGGGCGAACACAGAAATCTGGAGACGCTATTATAGTTATTTCTATTAGTCTATTACTAGAATTTCTGTATGTTCCCCCATTACCTCAGGAAAAGAATCATTGACACGCAGTGTACGCAGTTTATTATATTTCAATACATGTTCATTTATTTATTTTTACTTCCAACAACATGTTACAAATTATTACAAATTATTGTAATTGTAATTATTGTAATTGTTATTACAAATTTATAACAAATAAAAATTGTTTCTTTGAAAATAAAAAAATGTGTGTGAAAAAAATTTATTTTCTTTAATTTAGGTTTTTTAAGTGTTTTTTTTTTCTAGTTAATTGCATGATTATCGATAAATTTGGTGAAATTGCCAAGGTACTGCTCCTTCATTGGCGAAAAACTCTGTGAACTTTCTTCGTACTTGTACAGCTTCTCGACTTAATACAGCTTGATTTGGTTGATTTAAATTTTGAAATAAATTATTTTCAGATGTATCATTTCGCCAAATACCTGGAATTACATCGCCATTTCTTGTTTCTCTATCTACCATTGACTTGCAAAAATATGTCGACTCTTC